ATCCTTGCCCCCCGGCCCCAGACACCCACCACTGGGGCGCTGCTGGGAGGGGAACCGTGGCCGTACGGGTGGTGGGCTCACTTGCTGTAACTCTGCCAGGCAGAATCTCCAGGAGAGAGCTCGGTGCCTTCTCTCCTGTGTGCCGGGCATGGGGGTGTCCTCCCTGGCCAGCCTCTCCCGTCCTGTGGGCCCCTGTGCCAGAGGCTGGGAGGGGCTGCAGTCTGTAGAGGGTGAGTGGGTGGAATGAGCCTTTGGGCAGGAGGGCTGAGGGAGTTCCCTGGCTGAGTGAGTCAGGCAGGGCTGGGCCCGGCGCGCTCACCCCTGGCTTCCTGTCCCACCCACCCCTCAGGCAGGTGGAGGCTGTCCTCGGAGCTGCTCCACGCCGGCTGTCCTGTTTCCAGGCTTGCTGTGCGCTAGGTAGGCCGACGGACCTCAGCTTCACCCTGGAGCTGCGCTTGGCCTCATCCCAGCCCCCCTCTGAGGGATGCCAGGGTGCTGGGTGGGCCGGGGCTGTAAGGCCGATGGAGCTGTGCCTGGGATTTGGCCACCAGGGAGCTCGTGTCCAGGTGCCTGAGCTGGCAGCCTGCAGCCGGCCCTGCCGCTGCCCTGCCTGGCTCCCGGGGCGTGTCCCTCCCTGGCTGGGGCCCACAGGAGCTCAGACTGTTCAGCGTGTCCTGACGGGGCCCAGCCAATGGGCGTGAGCAGGACCCCTCTGGCTCTGTGGCTTGTGGGGCCGGCGCTGGGGGTGGAGGGTTGGGCTGTAGCCATGTGGAGGGCTGGGGCCTCTCCGGGCCTGCTCTGGGGAGAGCTAGTGTGGCGGGGGAGGGGCCGCCCGCTCTGCGGCTCAGCTGGCAAAGGTGACGTCGGCGCTGCAGCAGATGGGATGGATGCTGGCCGCGCCCGCTTGCCGTGGCACGTGGGTCAGTGCTGCGCCCGCAGGGACTGGGCTGAGCAGCATGGAGCGGGGCCCTGTCCCAATGCCGGGATCTAGCTGGGCCAGACGGCTCTCTAGGCTGACCCCCTGCACAGCACCCGCACAATAGCCCAGCAACCACAAGACCACCCACAGGAGACTGGAGTAGGGGGTGCCACAGGCAGCCAAGGGTGGGCCGTGATTCAGCGAGACTCCTGGACAGTCCTGGCGGGTGACCTCCACAGGCTTGCCCCAGGGGAAGGTGTCAGCCCAACGCTGGCACTGTTTAGTTTTAAACAGGGTTGGTGTTGGCTGGGGGCGCTCGGCCTGCGTCAGGCCACGGCAGACCTGGTATTAGCCCCTCCTCATTGGAGACCCCGGGAAGAAGAAACCACTAAAGCATTAGGTGAGGCCTGTTTCTCCGTGTGAGGGTTCCAGCCCTTTTGGGGGGAATAAGGTAGCTGAGTGATGCTGGGGCAGCTGTTGCTGGTAATGTTTGGGCTCGTTTTCTAGACAGGGCAAAAGGTGAAGAAAGCAGCAGATAGAAAAAGCAGCTTCTCTCTCTGCTCCTGACTCTCATCATTGCCATGCTGGGGAGAGGCAGGCCTGGCGCCGGACTCCATTCGAGGCCTGGCCGACTTGGAGCAGGGTTGGGCTGCTTAGGACATGGCTTCCGTTCACCTCTGGCTGCAGGCTTGGCAGGCGGGGAAGGAAAAGGACACGTGAGGGGTGGCCCAGTTTTACATCCCTGGTAGTGTTAGGGATATGGCCAAAGTTGGGAGGGGGCAGTGTGATCTGGGTCCTCTCCCTGGCCTGGTCTGGTCAGAGACTTGGTGGGATGACTGGCATGACTGGAGCGCTGTCATGGAAGGGTATAGACTGTTCAGGAACAACAGGCAGGGGAGAAAAGGAGGAGGAGTTGCACTGAACGTAAGAGAGCACTATGATTGCTCTGAACTCCAGTATATAGAGGGAGAAAAACCTGTTGAGAGTCTATGGGTTAAGTTTAGAGGCGCAAACAACAGCATTGATGTTGTGGTTGGTGTCTGCTACAGGCCACCGAATCAGGTGGATTAGGTAGATGATGCTTTCTTCGGACAACTGAGCGAAGCTTCCAGATCGCAGGCCCTGGTTCTCGTGGGGGACTTTAATCACCCTGACATCTGTTGGGAAACCAATACGGCAGTACACAGGCAATCCAGGAAGTTTTTGGAGAATGTTGGGGATAACTTCTTGACACAGGTGCTGAAGGATCCGACAAGGGGCCGTGCGCAGCTTGACCTTCTGCTCACAAACAGGGAGGAACTAATAGGGGAAGTGGAGGTGGGTGACAACCTGGGAAGCAGTGATCATGAGATGGTAAATTTCAGGATC